TCTGCTGAGTTCAGGTAGGCACAGGTATTTCAGGTGAAGTTGTGTGCTGCCGCCGCTGTTGATGCTGCTGCCACTGCTGCCGCTGCCACTGCTGCTGCTGTTTCTACCTCTTCTTCTATTGTTGTGAAAAGCGCGCAAAAGAGTGCGAGCAGCATCAGTGTTCAGGTGCGCGCCAAACCGACGACCGTTCGGCAGCACACAGCGCTGATCTATTTTCACATCGCTGAACGACTGCTCTGATTTTGCTTGAATTTGTGCTATATGGAGCCTGCTTGTGTGGCGCGCGCAATTCAAATTTTAAAGTAAATGACTAAAAAGTACGTTGTGACTAATTACTGTAAGGTGTCTTTGTAATCACTCATTTTATTGTAAAATGCAAAACATTTTAATTTTTTAAGTTACTTAATTCTTTTGTAGTACTTTGAGTGATAATAAATGGCATGGTGTTAGTTATATGTTCTATTGTTATAAGTAAACACCAAATTTTAGCGTTTTTTGCACACACTCTGTTGAGCAAAACAATCAACAGCTGCACATTGATTAGACAGCTCAACTGGTTGATAAGAAGTAGAAATCAACATTTCTTGCAAAAATTTAAGTCTTTAAATCGTTTATTCAAGTGCTTTTGCTATCCCTTATCATATATACTTTAGAAGTGTAAAAGGACAAACAAAGTACGCTTTTTGTTGCACTAGTTAAGCGTTGTGTTGTCTGTGTGACTGAAAACCATTGTCAGTCTGAACGCTTCTTTTTTTCATTTAATAAATACATAAAAACTCAATGTAAAAAACTTAAATAAGCATTACAACGCGTTCTTTAGTGCAGTTAACTTTACAAAACTGTTCTTGATTTGTTTTACTTTAAAGTTGTCACACTAAATTTTAAAAGAGTATGTACAAGCGAACCAACGTCACTGATGAAGATGTCGACAAGCTGCTCAAAGTGTTTGGCCAACTAAGCAGCTGCAACATTTGGTCTCGTGTCCAGCGGCAGGATTTTACCGTCAAACGGTTTGAGTAAGAAATTTAAACTTTATTTCTTTTTTGTTTTTTAAACAAAATTGACATTATTTTTTTCTATTTTAGATCTGGCTACGTCAATGACATTGCCGCCTGTACGCTGACCGCTGATGCTGAACGGCGACTCTGCCAGTACTCAACTGACCCAAAAGCGGTGGTGGTAAAGTTCTTTGTTCCTGAACTGTTTCAAGAGCGAAATCGCACTGAAATAGTGGCAATCAATACGTGCATTTCAGAAAACAAACTGTGTCCTCGGCTGCTGTACATTGATGAGCAAACGACTATTAATGAGTTCATTCAGGTATTGCCTTTTTATGTTTGAAAAACCTACAAATAGCAACATCATTTTTTACACCAGTGTCGCAACTACAGTGTTGAAGATGATCTGGAAATTGATACTGTTAAACAGGTAAGCAAGGTATTTTGATAAAAGTCTAAATATACTAAACTAAATTGGCAAAAAGTGTGCTCGTGTTTTGGCGCAGTTTCACTCTCTTAAGCCGCCACTGTCAAAGAATGGCTTTAACAAATGGGATATATTCAATGAAAACCTGCGTCAAGAGCCTGGTGCTGAGGAAATTTACGGAAACAAGTTTCTTAAGTACCTTGAAGCAGATCCTCTTTTGAAAGAAAAATACTGTATATTTTGACAATTTAAGCAAGTTTTCATATAACTAAATTATTTGTTTTTTTCAGATGAAGTGTTTCTAGATTTGGATATAGAAGAAATCATTGAGTTTTCTAGAAAGGCCATGCTAGACATAAACTCTCCTACTGTTTTTTCGCATAATGACTTTAACAGGGGAAACCGCATTGTACAAGTGGTTAAGGATGATAGTGGAAACACCAAGAAAAAAATTTATTTTGGTATGTTAAAACAATTAATTTAAGAAGCGGTTTGGTAACGCGGCACGCGGAGAGATTTACAAGCATGACGTAGTCCAGACTGACTTTTAATGGTAGAGGGAGCAGCTTATAAAGCATTTACAGAGGTTTCGAACTTCGCGTGAGCAAAGCCACATTTTTTTAATAATTTAAGTTTTTTTTATTGCAACAGTTGACTTTGATTACTCAACATACAATTTTCGTGGATTTGATTTAGCCAGATATTTTTCCAATTACCGCCACGCTGATGACATGTTTGGCAATGAAGGACTGCCTACTGATGAAGAAATGGGTATCTTTTTAAAAGAATATCAAATGGAGTGTTCACGAGTGCAGGGAGACTTTTACCTAAAACAGGAAATCAACTCTATTGAACAACTCATTAAGGAAGTTAAAGGTAAGCAATATTGATCACTCAAAACTGCTTTAGCTTTTTTCATACATAATACTAATGGACTTTTATTTTAAAGTGTTTCTTCTTGATATCCTCACAATTGATTTTTTCTTTTGTTTGGTGTTGTACAATTTGAACCCGAAAGGCAATGAAAAGGAATATTTTTTGGTAAACATTTAATTTTATATTTTTTTGTGTTAACTAAAAATTTTTATTTTATTAATAGGAATCGACTAAAAATCGTTATGAATTTTTCAAAGATGTACGAAAGCGCATTACTAGTGACGGGATACTGACTTTCTAATCAAATTATATACGGTTTGAACATTTTAATTTGTAGTAAAACTAAATAATTTTTTTAACAACTTTGAATGAATTGTTAGAGTGTACTGTTAGAATAAAAAATTATAAAAAATTTATTTTTGAAACTTTACTTGGTAACTGCAAGTGACTATACTTGAGCATAGATGGTGCTATGCTAGCAAGCAAAACGAAAAAATGTAAACAAAACTTTTAAAATAAAATCACACTTTGATGCGAGTGATATCGCAATTTGCTTTGACTCCTGATCATAACATTTTGAGGCAGTGTAATTGAACTCGCTCAATCGTTCAGTGTTTTTGACCACCGCCAAACAACAAACTTTGCCAAACAAAAACACGTTTCTATGACACTGACCAGACTACTCGTACATCGCCACTTTTTCTGCTGTTCATTTGTGTCTCTGTGTCTGTGCACTCTCTGCACATTTGGTCAGGGAGTGATCATCCTCAGCATCATCATCATCATCATTTAGATTGTCACAACATTTGGTGAATTGCTGTAAATGACGAGCTTTCAGAGCTTTGACTATAACATTGTGCTACCGAAACAGTATTTTCCCTTCTTATGAAAGAGACAGCACTCTTTTTTCTATCTTTTCCTTTCTGTCTCATCCGCCGTATCACTCTTCTCATATAGCTAATTTTTCATCCTCTAATTGTATCTCAATAATCAGCACTGTTTTGTGCTCGTTACCACCGTTTCAGGTTTGTGAGATACAAGTTCAAACGTGCTATCAAGCTTTTGATAGCGGTGATGCTTTTGACCTTCTAATCCAGTTAAGAGTTGTAAGTGATAACAAATTTTTTGCCGAATTGTACTCTACTAACTTGATTCACTAAATTGAACTTTTCAGATCTTCTATTGATACTTTGATAAACAAATCTTCTTTGTTTGGTGGCTAATTAATTAATCACTGCTGAATTATGCAAAATTTTTGCGGTTTGCCAGTCAAAACTGACATCTACAAAGGTGTTCACATTAACCTGGAAACTAGTGTCGAAAGCAAATGTGAATTTGCAAGTTTGAATGCCGATCAATTTGAATTGGCTTTGCAAGGTACAATTACCGTTACCCGTTTTAGACTTCACATTACTAACACTTTTCCACAATTGCAGAATCACTAGTACATTGGATTGCCAAGGGGAACAGATGTGTCTGGTTTCGTGTTCCCATCTCACAAACTCAATTCATTCCTGTTTTAGCTAAAGTACGATTGCGTCTCAAATCAAAACACATTTACTAAACTGATTTTAAACTTTATAGAGCGGATTTAATTTTCATCACGCCAAGGACAGCTTTGCAATGCTATTCAAGTGGATCAAGGAGGACGAAGAGAGCAAGGCACCTGGCTATGCTCACTCGATGGTCGGCGTAGGCAAGTTAACTTTTGCTTTTTTGTTTTTTTCTGAAACTACATTCTAAAAACTGTGATGCACATTTAGGTGGCCTAGTGTACAACCCGAAAACCAAGCAGGTGCTGCTAGTTCAGGAGAACACCTCAGTGGTGAAGATCTGGAAGTTTCCCGGCGGCTACTCCGAGCCGGGCGAGGACATCTTCGAGACGGCGATTCGCGAGGTGAAGGAGGAGACTGGCCTCGCCTGCAAGTTTCACTCGCTGCTCACCTTTCGCCACCGAAAAACGGGCGCATTCGGGTGCTCTGACTTTTACTACGTCTGCCTGCTGCAGCCACTTGACTTGGAGGGAGCTGATCTGCAGAAGTGTGAAGTGGAGATTGCCGAGCTAAGGTGGTTTGACCTGGAGGAAGCTTACGCTCATTTGGGTGGCTTTAACAAGTACGTCTTTGAGCGCTTTCTGGAGCAGTATGAAGATTTGCCTTTTCAGTTGGAGAAGAGCGAGTCAAAGGTCAAGGGCAACACTATTAACTCGGAGATGATCAACTCCTACTATGCGCATTTGAATTTTCAGGAACGAGTCTACTCGTTAGGGCCGACTAATCAGTTTGATTGAAATGTATTGATACTAGAATTTAATTGGTGCAATTGTTTAACATTAAAATATTACCGTTTGTTATAAATTTAAAAATAGTTTTAAATACAAATAAATAAATTGTCTAAAAACAACAAAATTCAGTATCGTTCTTGTTTTAAAAACCACAAATTAAAAACCATTTAGGCAACACTAACAGTAAACTAGTTTTTATTTTTAAACCAAACTTACAAAATCAAACAAAAGTGTACACGAAAACTGTCTTTACTGTTGTGGCTTGATAAAACAGTTTGATAAACTAGATTCATATCTCATATAGAGTCATGTTTCAAAATCAAACAAAAATCGAAAGTTGTTAGAAATAAATAAGTTTATTTTAGAAGTTACATTTTGTTTTTAATTATAACGCCAAACAATTTTCTAATCAACAATGGGCAAATACGATTTCGCCGGAAAAGTCGTTTTAATTACCGGTAAGCTTTTCAAACAACAAAACAATGTTGGCTAATGCTACCACTTTAAGGATCAAGTTCAGGCATTGGCGCCGAGTGCGCCCGGCAATTCGCCCGTTGCGGCGCTCAGGTGGTAATCACCGGCTACGAGGCGGCCGATGTGGTCTCGATGGTGGCGGAAATAGAGCAGATAACCGGTACAAAACCGTACCACAAAACGGGCAACCTGACTGAGAGTGGCTTTGCAGAGGCGCTCATCGATGGGACAGTGAAACATTACGGCCGCCTTGACGTGCTGGTGAACAACGCCGGCTCCATACGGGCGAATGACGCCCTGAGCAGCCCCGACTTTATGGCCACCTTTGAATGGATCATCGAGCTAAACCTGAAGAGCACCGTCCGCATGATGCACCTGGCCATTGACCATCTGGCGCAAACGAAAGGCGTCATTGTGAACACCTCTTCAATTAGCGCCGTGACGCCCAACCAGGGCGTCAGCTACTGCAGCTCAAAAGCGGCCATCAACATGGCCACGCAGTGTGCCGCCAAGGAGTTTGGCCCTCGTGGCGTGAGGGTGAATGCAGTCAAGTGAGTAGCAAGTACCCATTTTTTGTGTTTGTGCATAAAATTTCAATGGCGACTTTACTGTGTTTTAAACAGTCCCGGACCGATCAAAACCAACATTGGCCGGTACATCAACAAGCCGCAGTTGATGTTTGGCAGTGATGATCTGTGCTTTGAAACAAAGCTGACAGTGCAGAAACGAAATGGTGATCCAGCAGATGTAGCCAATTTGGTGCTCTTTTTGGCTTCCTCTGAAGCGAGTTACATTACGGGTGCCTATCACCTCATTGATGGCGGTTTCATGTGCCACTAAATGTAGTTTTGTTGTTAAAGTTTTAACAATACTTTCCTTTTTAAATAAAAACAAACAGCGTTAAAGTAAATTAAAAAGTGGCGTACTTTAGCTAGCATCCTTCAAGGTTAAAAAGTTAAACTTCAACTTTAATCTTGGTAACGAGAAACCCTCTTTGATTGTTACTGACAGTTCATTTGATAAAGTTTGTTTTTTCTATCCTCGTTAGCTCAAAGACAAGCAAGTAATAATAGAATGATAAAAACACTATTATCACTAACACTAAAAGCGAGATTCAGGAGATATGGCTTTTCGAATAAAAATAATATATCATTGACTCCCAAAAATCTGTCAAATGTTAAGCTTTTTGTGCTTATTAATCAATTGCTGTTTGGCGAATAGAGAACAAACGACTGTAGCAATTTTTACCTAAACATGTCATCAAGCACAGCAAAACCGGTGTTTGACTTTACCGGAAAAGTCATTCTCATAACAGGTAACATCATTTCATTAGCTTTGCAAAAATAACAAAAAAACTATCATTATTATATAAGGATCTAGCTCAGGAATTGGCGCCGCCTGCGCTCGAAAGTTTGCCCAAGCTGGTGGAAAAGTGGTAATCACCGGCTACGAAACGGACGATGTCATCTCAGTAGTGGCAGAAATTGAGCAGATAACCGGTGTGAAGCCGTTCTCAAAAGCGGGCAACCTGCTGGAGGAGGGCTTCATCGAGTCGCTGATTGAGGGCACCATCAAGGCTTACGGGCAAATCGACGTCCTCGTGAACAACGCCGGGTGGATCAGCGCCGAAGACAGCTTTGAAAGTGAGGCCTTCATCGAGCAGTACGACAAGATTATGGGCCTCAACTTACGGAGCGCCCTAAAGCTGATGTACGCCTGCAAGGAGCACCTGGGCGCCACCAAGGGCGCCATTGTGAACACTGCCTCGGTCTGTGGGCTGAACCCGCTGGAGAAGCCCATCTACTGCGCCTCCAAGGCGGCCCTCATCATGGCGACGCAATGTGCCGCACTGCAGTTGGGAAAACTGGGCATTCGCGCCAACTGCGTTAGCCCGGGACCGATTGCCACGCCCATTGGGCGCTACGTGGGCCAGCCGGAGATGATGCTCTTCGATGATGGCCGCTGTCCGGAAACGGAGTTGACCATTCTCAAGCGAAATGGCCGCCCTGAAGAGGTGGCCAGTGTGGTGCTCTTTCTCGCCTGCAATGAGGCATCCGGCTATGTGACCGGCGTCAACTACGTCGTCGACGGCGGCTACATGTGCCACTAAAGGGCACTGAGTTTTCTCTAAATAAAAATACTAAACTGATCATTAAGATGTGTTTTTGTTGCCAGTAACCAAAAGGACCATTGATGGTCGTCTTTTTCCCCTATTGTTTGTTTTAGTTAAGATTTTTGTTTATCATGAAAGTGTTGACTACTGCCCGAACTGAAATCTCCTGGCACCCAACATATGTCCCACTAAACACAAAGACACAAAAAACTAGACTAAAACAGATTGGCAGCAGCAGCAGCAGCAAAAACCAGTATTTCAAGCTTTGAACACTCAAACAGGCAAATCGATTTCCAAGTCGCGCACAATAAATGTGCTGAAGCAGAAAAAAAGAAGAAGAATAAATCAAGAAAAAGAATGAGAGAGAGAAAAAGAAAACAAAAGCAATCAAAGATGGCTCGCTAATGAATCAAAATTAAATGAGGAGCAGCAGTCTTTCTCTACTTTGCTTCATTGTCAATTAGTGTCGCTAGCAGGAAAGCTGTGTGTGTGGCAAGGCAAGGCAAGGCAAGGCAAATTCCAAGGCCACAACTCAGTTTCTGCGTATGGGCGAACTCTACCCCCTCTTCCTCCTCATCCACTTTTTCTAAACTGGCCGTTGAATTAAATGCCCTGGCAACCCCTCTCCTCCCTCGCTTTTCTCTTCTCTCTTCTCCTTCTTCTTTGCCTCATTTCCCCCAATCCCTCTCTCTCCCTACTGCGTACTGACTTAGAAGTGCTCATCCAGTGAGGCTTACTCTTTGCCCCTTCCTCCACTTTCCATCCGTCTCCAAGCGACGGATGTGCCGAGCTGACTCGCTCGCACGCGCTCGCTCGAAAGCCTGTGAGCAGTGCTCTGTTGCAGTTTGGCCTGCTTTTCCACCCGCCGCAGCCACCTTATGCTTCTGCTGCCTGCCACTCACAGTTTCCACTGTGATTTGCGCGCAAACCAGCGAGTGCCGTCTTTTGTTCTCCATCTATCCATCTGTTCTCTTTTTCTTCTTCTTCTTCTCGACTGGCTCTGCCGCAAAAACTAGGGTGCTCTTGCTCTTGAGACTTGCTCACTTGAGCTCACTGGTACGGTAAGAAACCTGACACAGAGGAAAAACCTCTTGAGGGTGACAGTGGCCATTGATAATAATTGACCTCTTTTTTTCTCCATCTCAGCGTACCTCACAGCGTGCCGTGTGCTCTGACCGTGTTGAAGCTGACGCTGTCTTCTAACACTCTCCCGCAGTTTCTGCTGATACGTCCCGATATGATCGCCATACCAAAACGCACTTGCGCCACCATGCTGGTGATGATCAGCGCCGCTTTGCTGCACATTGCCCTGGTGGCGGCACTACAGGGCGCCACTGTGGGCGCCACTCCTGCTGCTTCCGGTCAATCTTCCAATTTTGTTCACCCCCTAGAGATGCTCATCCTCTATCCACCCTTTGGTCCTCCCTATCCACCGCCAATGTCGACCGAAGCGAGCGTTCGCGAGTTCACCGTGTCCACTCCACCGTCGAATGACAACGAAAACGATGACGACAAAGACGACGACGACGCCGCCAACAAGCTTTTCCGCCAAGCTAGTGAATTCGACAAGAATCGACTGCGTGAAAGCATCAACAGCGAAAACCAGGACAACAGGGATTTAGGCAGCAACCAAACGGTGGCCGCCACCCCCCGGCACAACATCTGGCACAACACCGACCAGGAGGTTGAAGAGGAGGAGCAGATAACCCGGACCGTCTTCTCCGACGCGGAGATCACCTACATAGCGGGCGTCATCTGCGCCTACACCTTCCCCGACTTTAAGAAGCAGGCGAAACAGCTCGAGCAGACTATGAAGGATCACCGAGAGCTCTTTCAGCAGCACCTGACGCCGATCAGCATCTTTCCGATGCCTCCCCACTCCGGCGAGGTGGGTGGCAGCTCAGTCGAGGACGAGGTCTACCTGACGGACGGAGGCGGCGGCAGGACGACTGAGTCTCCAATGACAGTTGAAGATGAATGGTCAAAGAAAAGTTCTACTAAGAATGCTTTCCAGGCGACTCTGAAGAAGGCGAAGAAGAAGATGCCAATGAGTGGCCAGCAGCAGCTGTTGCTCCTCACCTGTTGCCTCAGCTCGCTGCATTTCCTCTTCCAGCTGACCGCCACGGTTCTCTTCACTTGCCCGAAATGGTTAAAGATGTGCTTCGGATGTCCTTCACCGGTTTCCTCCTCGGTTTCTGCGCCCATTTCCACTTCCTTATCTTCCTCATCTTCCTCTGCCCATGAGATTGATGATAATGGCGGTGGTAATGGCGGTGATCGCAATGCCCGTCCACCCAGCTCTCACCGGGCCGAATACGCCAACTACTTTGAGGTGACGCCCACCGACACTGACACGGACTACCGTAGTCAGGTGACTACCAGCTACCGTGGTACTGGTGGTATTCCCGTGGAGCAGCTGGAGATGCGCAATTTGAGCGGTGTTTCGGGTGATGCTGCTGCTGTTAATCGAGGTGTGCTTCGTGTCTCTATTAACCCTGGTACCGTCTATTACCACTCTGATGCACCGGTAGTTGAGAGTCTCGTCTGAAATATCAAAGATCGGCAATACCTATCCAAAACATCAACATCTTTGACTGACTTGCATCTGTTACGGTGAGTGTATAGAAAAACCCCTTTAAAAAACGATCCTTTTGACTAACTTTTTTCTGTTTATTTTTTAGGGCGCCCGTTATGAGCAGTAATCTCTATCACTCAACTTCATTAATTAAACAAGAATAAACAACATTTACGCTTACAAAAACATTAACTGATCAAGTATCAGCATATCTACCCAAAATTCATTCACTACATAAACATTTTAGTTAGCTACTTTTTGAATATTTTCAACTAGTTTTCCAAATTATTCAGCTTAGCAACATTAAACACAAACAAGCAAAACTCAAAATTATTTATTTTGTTCATTTTTTGTTAGCTTTCAACACTTTATATACTACAGATTGTATTCTTAACTAATCAATAAACATTTTTCCGTTACAAAAAATGACATTATTTGTTGGGCACTGAACACACAAAAAAGGTTGAATGTTCCAAAACAGATCAAACAGATGAAACAGTATTTACAAAAATGGTTTTTTACAAAACATTGTATGAGAAAGAAGAAACAATGAGATTAAAAACTTCCAAGTTGTAAACTGGGGAGAAAAGATTTGCAATGGAAGAAAAATGCGTAAAATACAAAAAACGAAACAAAAGAGAGAGAGAGAGAGAGAGAGAGAGAGAGAGGGTAAAAAAGTTAAGTAGAAGATAAGTTAACTCAAAAGTAAAAAAGTAAACAAAAAAAATAAAATGAAAGGGAACACATGTTAGAAAGGTAAAAAGGTGTATGTTAGTGTGTCTGGTAATTACAAAAGTATAAGTTAAAGTGTCCTTCAATGTGCGACAAGTTATTATGATAAGTGGTCCACGGTGTACAGTAAGTAGCAACAGCATTTCACAGTTTAAGACCGTTTGCCATCTCCAAAGCCAATGATCGCGTTGGGCGCCGAGATAACGAAGTAGTTTCTCCATATGAAGTGTTTAGATTCGCTGCTGCCGGTTCAGATGTTTGCTGCCCCTGATGAACTGCCTCAGGTTGAGTTGTTATCGCTGTTAGGGACGATTCAGAAGAAGGTTTGCTGCTAGAGCGCAAACTTAGTCGAAGAGTATTATTAGCATTACCACCACCGCCACCACCACCACCATTACCGTTTCCTGGTTTGGGTGCCGGCTTTGGAGTAGTTGCCGGCGGTGGCGGCGGCTGTGGCGGTGGCACAGTGTCCTGAGCGCCTGGAATTACTTGAGCAGGCAAAGGAGGAGGAAGAGGGTTCTTTCGAGGACGACCTCGACCTCTCTTCGGAGGGGTAGGCATCTCTCCATTTCCAACTCCATCAGCTCCTGAGGTGACTTGTGATAGAAAATTGGCCTGAGGTACACTGTCTGGATTTGGATGAGGGTTCTTCCGAGGACGCCCTCGTGGTCGACGATCTGGCCCTTTAGCACCACCACCACTAACTGGCTGCGGTGGAACATTATTATCAGTGATACTGACTGGCTGTGGCACTGGTGGGACACTTGCTGCCGAGATACGAGTTGTGTTCAGGCTAGCTTTTGAAGCTTTTCGAATGTGCTTTCCGTGCTGAGAGGGTTGAGTGTCATCAACGGCGTCATCAAACCGTGAAACTGAACCTTGAGGAGGATTTTGAGAAATAGGAGGAAGGGCAGCTGAACTCTCAGTTGAAACACCTCCGCGAATTTGGCTTCTTCGAAAAGACGACTTGAGGCCACTCTGAAGAGGCGGTGTAGCCGACTGCTGTCCACTGTGCCCACTAGGACCCTGGCCATAAACCATTTCTGGCAATTGAGCAGTTTGATTTTGCTGTGGAGGTACTGCAAAGCCCAGTGGACTCTGTGGCGCCTTGTGGCCACCGCCAATGTGTTTCAGCACTTCACTTCGCGTGCGAAAGTAAATATTTTTGCATTCTTCTCTTTTGCAGCGAAAAGCCCCCAGTTGATGATCGTTTCTAAATGTAGTTAGTGAAAAAAATTGGTAATTTGAGTAAACTAAACACGTTTTTCAAAAATGGTGGTTTAGCCGGTAATTACCTCCAGTGCTTGTTGTACCCTTTTTGCAAATCAAATCGCCTTTCACCACAGTACTGGCAAGGCCACTCCTGGCCCACTAGAGCTTCGCTAGAAATTTTGTGCACCTGGTGGTAGTGGACGGCCAGCTGTCGGCTAAAATATCAAAAAAATGCACGAATACACATTTAGAATTAGAAAAAAAGATGAAAAAGCTAAAAACCCATAAACCTTGCAAAAAAATAAAAAAATTTTCAACTTACGCGTTTTGAAAGTGCACCTCGAGCACTGAGCAGCCGTGAATGCAACCATAAAAACCCACTTTGTGGGTCATTTTCAGGTGTTCTTCGTACAGTTCAGCGGCAATCGTTATACCGCAAACGCGACAGTCAAAACCGCACGTCTCAAAAGTTCGGCTC